GTGTGGAATCATGGGAGTTGTCGTCTTCATCCCCACAGCTGATGCAATCCGACGGGACTTGGGCAGAAATCATGTTCATGGATGAGCTAATGTATTAAAGATTTATTAACGTCGTAGTATGAAGCGGAGTGAGGCTGAAAGCCGTCGAAGCGAAACGAGGCCGCTGAACGAGCGCGACACAGCGGAACTTTTATTATGCCACACTTTAGCGCTTCTGCTCGTGCGTATGTGGGGTAAAGCAGCGCTGTTTTATCATAATAGATGCGTTTGAAAGTTCTGTTATAATGCTACTCTGTGCGGTCTTCACCCGTCTAATAAAATGTATAACATAATAAAGCGTCTTTGGTGTTTCCATGTTTTCTACAAAACAAGACTGGAAATCGAGGGTGTATGAGCCATTATTCAATACAAGCCATTATTTAAAATGGCTATTTCTCTGGATTTAAACATTCATCGAAACATTTGGGATAATGTAAGTACACATGTCAGCAAAATATATAACGCTGTTCTAGTGATTTTTGGATATTTTAATAAAAAAATCTTACATATTGTGCCTTTAATTAAAAGCAATTTGTTAATCACACTAAGCAATATGGCAGTTTTGGTTGTATTTTGCTCATTCATGCAGCCCTACTCACTTATCTTTTTCACTCCTCAGGTCTGTAGCAGTGTTTTCAATAGTTGGGAGCAGTTCAAGGACCACTTAGTGACCCACACGGGTGAGAAACCCAACCACTGCACCATCTGCGATCAGTGGTTCACGCAACCCAGAGATCTCCACACTCATCTGCTAGAGCTCCATGGCTTACAGGAGAAGGTTATCGTCACAGAGGAAGTCATGATTTCAGATCCAGCCACGGTCTTGGCTATGGTGGAGGTTGAGGAGGGAGAGGAGAGGGTGATCCTGGAGGACAGCATACGGGTGGAGCATGTCACTGTGGAGCCGGTGGACGTTGTTGCTGTTGAGGAGACTCTCATGGTGGAGGAAGAGACGCCGATACAGCCTTCTCAGACTGTGGGTGGGGTGGAAGAGACAGTGGTTTTACAAGTAGATGGCGAGACATTGAAAGAACAAGCAATGGAAATCCAAATAGCACGGGTGACCGTTGCAGAACCAGCAGAATGTCAAGAGGCAGTGGACAGTTCGAAAGAAGTAAAGACTGCAATTGTATGAAAGGCCTCTCCTGTGCATGGACACTTTGAGAATGAATTGGGAAGGTGAACCAGGCCTTTACTCCTTTCCCACCACATTAAAATTATACAGTAATGCTCACAGTGGTGTCATGCAACAAAGATGGGTCACCAGCTTTATTTCTTTAAGCTTTGCTCTTCACTTCTCGGAAAGCAGTGTCTCTATAAATCTGATCACCGTTTCAGTCATGCTTTTAATGTATGTTGTGGATAAGAATAGTAAGATGTAATTCATTTCATGAATAGTGCACATCGCCAAGACTGTTTCGGGTGTGGAAAGAATGTTTTTTTTTAAGTTATCTTTGGATGTATGTTTATAGCGTGTGCAAGAAGCTTATTTTCATAAAAGAATTAAAGGGCAAAATGTTTGCGCAGATAATCGAGACGACGTATGTAGTTCTGGCTTGTGTTTCTAATCTTTCTCCTTGTTCAGTCTGCACCATTCATTCGTTTTAAGTGAGTTTGCTGTTCAGCTGTACAGAGCTGTACTGATGTGGCACTCTGAGCCTGTTTTCAGCTGCAGTGATTTATGTGAACAGGAAATTAAATGTAATTGGGAAATGCAGCATCTCTTCACTGTGAAGCAGGTATGGGTTAAACCAGGCCTTCTCAGACGGGGGAGCTTTGACCGTCCATGAAGGCGGGGCCCGGCATCTTAGGGGCCGGGACCCACTATAGGGCCTCAGAAAACTTCTAAGAGGGCCACAGGATGACTTAAAATAATTTCTTATTAATGTATTTAATTTCAATATTATAATGAATCTATTACAACAATTTAATTAAAAATGCTTAAACATCCCATTATTATCCCATTATAATAATTATTCGTAGTTTCTCTAAAACAAAATATATAGCTGTCTTTATATTTTGCAAGGGGATTATTGTTACTAATAAGTGGATTTAGAAAGTTTGAAAACCACTAGTTTACAGGATCACAATCGTTGTTAAATTGATACTTTATTGATAGTCTCAAGGTGATTTTGTTTTTAAGTAAAACTAAGACTTTTCTTTTTGCAAAACTCAAAGGACTTTAACATTTTTTTTCTATTTTAGAAATGTTCTAATAGCCTATTGGTTAAAGAAAGCCGTTAGTCCCACCTCCAAGCTGTGATTGGTTAACAGAACTGTCCGTCACCTGACCTCCCTGTTGCTGTGATGGTGCCTGGAGTCCTCGCGCATCACATTCAGGCCAATGACACGCACCGAGTTACAACAAACTGAATGATCCCGCAACGAATACGCACAATAATTCAACGAGGCAACGCTTAAGAAAGGTAAGGATGTTTACTCATCAATTATCATCATCCTGAGAGGTAACCATTGAATACATACAAGCATGAAGAATTAATGTATGCCTTCAAATTGTTTACAAGGCTTATATCATTTGTTCAGATATCAATAGACAAATCTTGATGTTGATGTGTCTGGCGTTACTGCCCAGCAGCGGTTGTTATGGAAGCGTGTAAACTACAATTCATCTTTGGTGCAGATACGAGCATCATCTTATTAAAAATTAGGCTGGTGTTACTGTTAGGCTACTTATATTTTATAGTTATATTTCACAGAGCTAAACTACACACTAAGATCTGACACAAACGTGCGTGGTGTCACCTTTAGTGACTTGAGATGCGTTTGAAATAAAGATTTACCCTTGCAGAGTAATTTATTGCCAGTAATAATAATATATAATTAATTAATACAATATTTCATATTTAGTGTTGCTATTATTTGTGTAAAAATGTGATTCATAATATTTTTTCATTTTTATTCCATCCCTTATGACTGAACATTTGTCAAACTAATTTAAAATCCTCTGATCAAATGGCATTTGTAATTAACATGATTTTAGTCTTGCATTTGGGAATGTGTGGGGTCTACAGAGGGCCTCTGGCTTAAATAAAACCGCATTAGTGTTTGAACAGTACAGGTGTGCGAATCCCAAATGGCTCCTGAATAGAAGTATTAATTTACTGAGAATATTGTAATTTATGATACTGAATGATCCTTTCTAGTTTCTCACGGATTGATGTCAACTTTTGTTCAGGCTCCTTTGATGACTCCTTAGTTGGATGACATGAAACATGGTTTTAGGTCTGAGATTAAAGCTGCTTTGATGGGTTGGGAATACATTAACAAGGCACAATGCAACGGAAACAGCCTTTTTTGTGGTTTCATCGCATAATCTGCATGTTTTTTCCCCTCAAAGGTCCAAACATCAATTGAACTCCTTAATTATGTTCCTTATTTAAGGACTCATTAATATGGACACATTCAGACATGTATCAAAATCTGAATACATGTTCTGAAGCATGTGTGATGCTTGTGGTTTTGTGCATTTTTAATGCAGTTATGTAGAATTAATAGCATTATTTAGAAAGAGACAGTTCATCATTTCATCATGTGTAGTAGAGCCTCTTCAAAATATGTTTATGAATGTCATCCAACACATATTTAATACATACTCTGACATTAAAGCGATAGTTCACTCAAAAAAGAAAATACTATCATCGTTTACTCACCCTTAAGTTGTTCCAAACCTGTATGATTTTCTTTGTTCTGCTAAACACAGAAGATATTTTGAAGAATGTTGGTTACCAAACACTTTACAGTAGCCATTGACTTCAATAGTGTTAAAAAAAATACTATGAAAGTCAATGGCTACCCACATTCTTTAAAATATCTTCTATTGTGTTCAACAGAAGCAAGAAATTCACACGGGTTAGGAACGACATGCGTCATTTATCAAAATAGTAATCATATGTAATTATTGTGTGGCTGATCTGATAGCAAGAAAATGACTTGAAATTTGGTAGTTGTAGCTACGTGATGGAAATTCCAGATTGGCAACTCTGGCCCCCTATTGTCCCTGATCTTTTCACTACTGAGCTCTTTTTTCCCCTCTCTGTCCATGTGTCTCAATCAAAACACACACAGGAGGGCTTTGTGTAGCTGTGGCTGTGAGTGTGAACACAGAAGCTGCTTCTGAAATCGCATACCGAGTAGGTACTACATTTGATTTGGAACTTACTTCACGGCCGTTAAAAAAGGATGTTCTATATATTATGAATATAATCTGGGTGTGCTTCATTTATCATGTTGTCATTGTCATGTGACTTATGGTGTCAGTTGCGTCAACATAGGGCTGGACAATAATTCAGTATCAATATGTATCGCGATATAATTTTTTTCAATAACAGTGATATGATTTTTAAACACATTTCCGATATTTCGATATACATTACCAGTTTCCCATACATTGATTTAATTGTGCCGTTTGACTTCGTTGAATAAACATGAGCACTGCACGTTTCAAAATCATAACACAGCGCTGGTGTTTTATATGAATGTATCTCTGAAGAGAA